TTTTCGACACCGGCCCGAAAACCCCCAAAATTTCTCAAAATGCGTGGATATAAACCTTCAATTTTGGAATTTTTTGACTTTTTTTTTTCGCCCGAATTTAAAATTGACGAAATGTTTACCAAGGTCCCTAATATCCTTCGGGAGTCCAATTGGGTGGGTAGAACCACATCCAATTTGCCTTTAAACGACCAATTTACCGGTTTACAACTTGCACCGATTTCATTAACTCAAGCCTACCACGAACATGATCCAAACCCGATAAGAAGTATGACCCGACGTGACCCAACTCAAGCATGACCCAACCCAAACCCGACCCGCATAGGTTCTGGAATTAATCTAAATTGATCCCACCCGAATTAACCCGACCCACTCTTACCCTACCCAAACCCGACCTATTTACCCGAATTGACAGCTCTACGTAATACATGTAATTCTATAGTTCACCATATGTTGTTTACTTAATAGGTATTTGGTGTATTTCATTCTGATGGATTTTTTGGTCATTAGGTGAACTGTGTATGACATTGTAACAAGAAGAGAAGATAAGCATCCTACGGTTCTATGACCGTGCACGAGGATTGAATCAATGCTACATACAATGATACAAAACAAGCAGATGCAGAGTTAGGTGATGGTGATAATGGAGTTGGTGGTTTATAACACTCTGTAAGTTCCCTTAGGACCGCTGCTGTTACCTTCCTGTCATCCAAAACTTGCATTAATTGCCATAATTAATATTGGTTCGTTTAATTAGTTTTCATAAGTTAATGTTATGGTGAACTGGTGATGAGTATTACATGTTCTAGGTGATACAGCTCCTTCTAAACACTTTCATTCAATTTTGTTTTTACTCGTATTCTTCAATAAATTCGCGTTCACACTCCTACTATCATGGAGTGAAATTGCACACAAATTTCGCCATAATTCCTTTAAACTACTACACTTTTACTCTATGTAAGGTACTTGATATTTTTCCTTTGCACTAAATGCCTGATTTAATTTGGAGCTTAGTAATGGATTATGACCCCGGTTGTACGATACCCTGGTGTCAAGTCGCTTAAATATTGACCTGGATGGCCTATGATATTTAAGACCTGTATACGTGAAAAAATTGTGTACTATGCTCTTTTAAAGTCGATTACTTAACTTGATGATAATTTCTAAGTAATATTAATAAGGGCAGCTGAAAAGTATGTAAGAAAATTCAACAAGGTAGATGAATAGATGCCTAATTGCTCACCTATGATCTTTCATCAAATTGTCCTTCTTTCCTACATATTCTGTTCCTAATATTTGGGCAATGTTTTATTTCTTCTTTTAAGAGTCACATTAAATAAAATACTATAGTAGGCATGAAATGTTGATGCCATCAGTAAAGAATCAAAGAAGCACTAACATGACTTATATTCACACCTACATATTGGTCAAAAAAATTTACAATGAAATGTTTAGTCATTAAGTGAACTATGTATAACACTAAAACAAGTGAAGCGTACGAGCATCGTATGATTCAACGACCATGAAAGAGGATTGAATCAGAACTAGAAACAGAACACACTGATGCAGAGTCAGGTGTTTGTGGAAATGGAGTTGATGGTTCACATGACTCTGTGTAAGACTTTTTAGAGAATTTGCTGTTTCTGTCATCCAAAAGTTGCATTACTTGCCTCATGCTAGGCCTCTCTTGAGGATTATTATGGCAACACATCAATCCTAACCTCAAAATGAGCTCCATTTCTTCGGAAATGTAGTTAACCTCCAGCCTAGGATCGATTGTCTTAAGAAGTTCTCCGTTTTCCCAGCACATTAGCACCCAATCCACCAGATTTTCTTCTTCAAGGGAGTGTCGGGATATTGCCCTCCTTCCGCAAACCACCTCAAGTATAAACATTCCAAAACCAAAAACATCGGTACTAGTAGTTGGTTTTCCTGTGATGGTTAGCTCTGGTGCAATGTATCCGATTGTTCCAACCACACGGGTAGTTCTTGGGCCTGTATCATGATCATATAATCTCGAAAGACCAAAGTCACCTAGACGAGCACTCATGCTAGCATCCAAAAGAACATTACTTGCTTTTACATCTCTATGAAGAACAACTTGTTCCCACTCTTCATGCAGGTATAGCAAGGCAGATGCCACACCTTTGATGATTTTGATTCTCTGATGCCAGAATATGTTTGGTTTCTCGTCACTGAAGAGAAACTTGTCAAGGCTTCCATTAGGCATGTAATCATACACTAAAAGAAGCTCACCCTTTCTCCGACAATAACCGAGAAGTTGTACCAAGTTTCTATGCCTTAGCCTTCTCATGCTGGCAATTTCAGCCACAAATTCTCTCAAACCTTGTTTGGAATCATGTGAGACTCTTTTGACTGCTACTTGGGTATTGGAATGAGGCAATGTACCTTTGTAAACCTTTCCGAAACCTCCCGAACCCAGAAGCTCACTCTCTTTAAACCCTTTTGTGGCTATGTATAGATCCCTGTACAAAAATCTGTTTACAGAAAACTCTGACTCCCAGACCTCGTGTAATTCTTCATACTTATTCCTTCTTATGATCACATACACAACTAGGAAAATACTGATGAAACATACTATTAGCACAACTAGAAGAACTACAACATGACTTAATTTCTTTCTTGGATGTTTTAGTTGGGGAAGTGAAGGAAGCTTAGAAGGGTCTAAGCTTTGAGCTAGGCCACTTTGATTCCAACTCCATCCTAGTATGTAGTGTGTATTAGTCGATAATCCAGTAGATGAAGAAAACCCGATATATACTGGATTCACTATAACCTTAGATAGATCAATATGAGTTGACAAGAGAGAATGATTTGGTTTTGGTTCTTCAATAGGAGCCAATTTCACATTCACTAACATCTTCAGAGCATCATAATCTATCCATACTTGTATCGGCTTTCCACTTGTAAGCTGCAAGATCTTATTCTTCCTTTCTTTATCAGAAAAGTACATTGCAGAAGCTGCACTTATTGATTTCAGACCATTAACATCGATTCCAACATGGTTGGCATCAATATCTTCAAAAAGTGCATTCTGAACTGTATCTAATTCCACTGCAAATACATGATTTGCAGGAGAACCATTGTTGGAAGAATTAAAAAGCCCCAAGTATTCAGCTGGAACTGTGTGGCTGAAATCCATAGACGATGAGATGACAAACGCGATCCCATGTCCACTATGTGGTATATCCAATTCTCGGTATATAGCAAACACAAATGAAGTAGAAAAAGAAACATTTGTGTCCAATTTCAGAAGGGTTTTATAGAAAGCATGACCCTTCTGCAGCTTTGTGGTGTTAGTCAGTTGCAATAAGCCATTAGGATGAATATGTGCAAGGCTGTCGAGATGAAGGCCTGCTTCTGTAAAACCATGATAAATAAACTGGTTTTGTTGTTCAGAAAAGGCAGATATTGTGCTAAGTAAGAAAAGAACTATTAGATTCTGTTTTCTGAAAGATATAGACATTAGACATAGAACAGAAGTGAATCATAGGATTGTAGTTTTGTAATTGAAGAACAAATGGGCTATTCTATATGATTAAATAAAAATCACTGATTTACTTTATGATCACAAAAAACTGAGGTAAACATGCTTGCAAAAGTTGCTGCTTGACTGCTTGTGGTTTACTTCAGAAGTCAAAGAATTGTGCCTCCTTAATTTTTGTTTAAAATATTGAGCAGTTGGATCAATTCAACAAGAAATTTTCAACTTCTAGGAAATAACAAGTTTGAAAAGAGTAATAAAACTTGATGTTTATCACGTACAAATCTTAAATGGGTGGATAGAAATCAAGTCAAATTATCACTACTCAAGGAAATGTGATGCATAAGTGATGTAACAATGGTCCTCTAGAGATGGCCAGTGGGACGGGTTAGATTGATCCAACTCGCTCAGCTTAGCTACCGGGCCATGGTGGGACCGGCTCAGACTAGTCTACTGAGTGAGAGGGTTGGCTCCCTCCCTCCCCCCCTCTCTGGCTTCATATGCCGTTAGTTGTCACGTGTCCCTATCCTCCATCCCGGACCACTGACCGTCCCTAATCCTCCCTCTTATTGGATTTAAATGTTCAATTTAGGTAGACTAGAGTGAGTATGATTGACAAACTAATATAACAGCAAATTACGTGTCCAAATTATTAACATCTCAAGATATATCAAAATACTGTCTTAAAATTTTATACAATTTGTACATGATGTTCAAGATTATATGAATAACACAGAAGCTAACATTAAGTTTAATTATGTTTGGTGTATGTCTAGCAGTTTAAAGAAAATCCATCCAAAATTCAAAGTTTTTGACTTTTAAACTACCTAATAAAGTAATGGAAAAATGACTGATAATTATAATATTCTAAAGTGAGCACCAAATCATCAACAATTGACTCTTTCAACAGTTCAGACATGTCTTTGATTAATATTTGATTGTGAAAAGACAGAAGTACAACATGGAAATTTCCTTTGAACATTGTAATCAGGTCTTTGGAAAATATAACAGATTAAAAAAAAGAATAGCATGGAATAATAAGAATTACCTACCCTACTAATTTAATAAATCTTGTGGCAAAAGTATTAATCAAAGGATTATAGGACCCAACAAATTATGCTGATTAGTTCTGCCAAAGAAAGTTAATCAGTAATCTATATTTTCTAAACAGCATTAATTCAGAAAAGGTAAGAAGAAATTCTGATGTTCTTGACTCTAACGCTTTCAGACATCGGTTTCACTGAGACAGATATGATCATTTCACATTCAAACACAAATCGCTTTCAACATATTATTGAAGATTAGACAAACTAAAAACATTATAAGCAAGTTATCAAAGAAAATATTCGAAAATAACTACTGTTCCTGAAGGGCTTTCAGACAGCGATTTTACCAACTTTTTCTCAATGACCAAAGTAAATCAGGCTAACTTGAGACGCTCAAGTAAAATTAGCCTCAGAAAGTCAGAATATTCTATGAAAAATTTGTACTTGGGAGCTTTCATTCAGCAATTTCACATGATAGATATGATAATTAAACGGTGACCTTCATACAACAGTTGTTCATCAGGCCAACTTGAAACATTATAACAAAAAGGCGGCCTGAGAAAATTCCCTGGAAAATTACTTAGAATATCAGAAACTACATTACAAAACCTTGCAGAAGCAGGGTTGGTTATGAGCTTACATACATGAGACCATACAATATGAACTAAATTATCGACCAACATGTAGTATGGATTCACTGCTATATGAAACATTAGCAAAGTTGCCTTCAGAAGATGTAGGATACGAACCCAAAGTTTGATTATTGAATGTAGTGTGAGCAGCTTTAGTATCAAAAGGAACCATCTCAGGCAGAGCATTATCTCCATTCAGAAACTGCATAACTTGCCTCATGTTAGGTCTTCCTTCAGGCTTTGGATAACAGCAAACCATGCCTAGCTTCAAAACTAGTTCCAATTCTTCCACAACGTAATTCCTTCCTAATTTAGGATCACTTGCCTCAACAATCGCCCCTTTCTTCCAGCATTCATACACCCAATCAATCAAATACGTTTCTTCGTTTGGACCTTGAAGGCTAATAGGACTCCTTCCACAGGCAACTTCAAGGATGAACACCCCAAATGAAAACACATCAGTGCTAGTAGTTGCCTTTCCCTTTCTAGTGAGCTCGGGTGCAAGATATCCAACAGTTCCAACGACATGGGTAGTCTGAGGATTGGTACCATGATCATATAACCTTGCTAGTCCAAAGTCACCTAGCCTTGCATTCATGTCAGCATCTAGTAGAATGTTACTAGCCTTAACATCTCGATGCACAATGACTTGCTCCCACTCTTCATGAAGGTATACAAGCGCAGAAGCCACACCACGAATGATCTTGAACCTTGCACTCCATGAAAGACTTGGGTTTTCATCTTCATAAAGATACTTGTCAAGACTGCCATTAGGCATGTAATCATAGACTAAGAGCAACTCTCCTTTCCTTCGACAATACCCTAGGAGTTGTACCAGATTACGGTGCCTTAACCTCCCCATACAAGCAACTTCTGCAACAAATTCTCTCATTCCTTGCCCTGAACCATGTGAAACTCTCTTAACAGCAACTTCAAGTTTCGGTGAACTTAAAATCCCCTTATAAACCTTCCCAAAACCTCCAGCTCCCAACAGCTCCTTATCTTTAAACCCCTTTGTAGCTTTGTAAAGATCCTTAAACGAAAATCTCTGCAGGAGGTATTCTTGCTCCCAATCTTCCATTACTTCCTCGAATTTCTTCCTTCTTATGACATAAAAAACTATCCCAATTGTTACCACTATCACTGATATCACAATCAGCAGGATCATGGAGCCTATACTCAATTTCCTCCCTCGACTTCCATAACGAGGAAGCGTAGGAAGCTTTGATAAATCGAGTCTTTGAGCCTCCTCCCTGCCATGGGCAAAGCTCCACCCAAGTAGATAGTGACGACTAGCCACTGACCCAGTAGATGAAGAGAAACCAACATACATGGTGTCTGTTAGAACTTCAGAAAGATTGACATGTAATGATAACAAAGGCCTACTTGGTTTAGGGACTTCAATAGGAGCCATTGTTACCTGGACTAACATGTTTTTATGATTATAATCAATCCAAACCTGCATTCTTTTCGCGCTTATAAGATTCAGACTCTTAATCACTTTTTCAGCATCAGAATAATAAGCTGCTGAAGCTGATGCATTTGATATCAGACTATTGATATTAATCCCAGCATGGTTACTATCAATATCAGAGAATTCATAATCCTGAATGGTATCTAATTCCACAGCAAATATATGATCTGAAGGCATAAAATCTGATGAAGAATTAAAAAGACCGAAAAACTTGCCTGGAACACCATGGGGAAAGCTCATCGAAGGAGACAGAACAAACACAATTCCATGACCACTTATGGCTTGAATTTCAGGGTACATGGCAAAAACATAATGGGTGGAAAACGAAAGAGACGACGAAGAAGAGAAATTTAGAGGTTGTGGATGAAAAGCATGAGCAGTTAGCTGTTTTGTATAGTTTGTTAGCTGCAACAATCCATTAGATTGGACTGTTGCAGCTCCATCAATATGAAGATTGGCTTGTTGGAAGCCTTGATATATGAACTGCTTTGAATCTTGAGCAAAGATTGTGGGTGTTAATAAGATCCCAAAACAAATCACTATAATATGAAATAAGATTTTGAAAGCCATGAAATAAAGAAGTTAAAACAGAGGATTTTCTGACATTAAACACAGCAAAATGAAGAGTTATAACATTTTTTCACTTCATTAACATAAAAAAAAATATTATATGGTTGGTAGGCTAAAGAGGGGAACCAAGAAAGATGGAGTCAATGAAATTGCCTTTGTAAAAGGGCAGCAAGTCAATCAAGTTAAAAGAAAAATCAAAGGCACTCTCCTATGAAAGTGACTGGTCACCAAAATAATGGAAATAAAGACCAAAGGTAGGATTAAAAAAATTCATAAACCTTGTGTCATTTAGAATAATAAATACTTTTATTCACAAGGCTCGTGTTAAAAAGGACCACTCATTTCGCCTTATTGCCTAGGTCAGGTACTCGACACTATGATATTTGTTTACGGTCCTTTTTTAAGACTTTAACTTCATTTTTGGGGCTAAAATTTGTTTACAATGGATATGTGAATTCTATCTTTGTTTTTCTTTGTTTGGCTCTAACTAGAAATCTAAAGCGGAAGGGGAAAAAGAGAGGGAGGAAGGTAAGAACTAGAGGTGATAAAAAAATCGAGCCGGGCCGGGCCTTAATACAATTTTTCGTACCCAAACCCGTAAAAAAAGTAGCGTCTTTTCGGGTTTTTCGGGTCGGGTTCGGGCTTTTTACTCAAAATGCGTTTTTATGCTTGCCCAAACCCGCCCTATTTTCGGGCCCCTTTGCCATAAGAAATTATTTTCACAGTCCACCCCTTTACAAACCAAATAGGACCAAATAGACGGGGAAAACAAGTTTTCCGACTAGAGACTTTCCTTCCAACCAAACACGGCCTTAGATTTCATAATCACATTTATTATTTAGTAATGACAGTACAACAACATTTAAAGCCTTACCTAAGTCTTGTACGATGTAATAATAATAATAATAAATCTCTGCAATCTAAAAATAACACACAACAAAATTAAAGCTGTATGAACAACATCAAGTTGTTATTATGAAAATGATGGGAATAAGGGATGAAGTTTCTTTCTTGTTTTTTTCATTTTGGGACATAGAAATTAATTTTGCTACTTTTCTACATTCATTATGTTAAATGACTGTATTTGGCATTTCATTTTGGCAAACTTAGCCAGTTTTGGGGAGTGCTTTATTTTGACTAGTAAAATGGCAAACGTTTAGGAAGAGTTCAACGTTTGGATATTGAATATAGATGCACCATTTTGCTGACTAATAATTCAGTATTTACTCTTTTTTCCCTCTCTAGAACCTGTCGTTTCACTTCTTCAGAGGCCATAAACTATTATCACATTCATCATTTCGTGATTATCCCATAGTCTTGCTATGCCAAGATTTTTCTAAATCGTCTAGATCATCATCACTTTAGGCTCACATTTTTTTTCTCGACATCATCGCAACCAAAAGCCCACGTGTGGTCCATCACATAGTATTCACTGTTGCAACTAACACGATCAATAGTTATTAAATATCATTTATATGTATAGTAGCAGATACAAATAATGAGTAAAATTAACAGAGCAAAATTTTAACACAGGACTCAGAATTCAGACTCAGAAACATACAGAGTATATGTAATGGCAAAGTTAATTCATGAATAAAGAAAATAAGACTTATTTAAATATGATTTTCGTAACATACAGGGAGTAAATCCTGCTTCTCACAGGATTTCAGAAGAACATGGTCATTTTTACATATGGTAGCTAATAAATCAACTAATTCAATCATCTAGTTACATTCAGAATACTGCACATTTAGCGGCCATGATGAATGACTGAATTAACAGAAAAAAGGGAGTTAGTTGACACCTGAAATGAGGATGGATATGAACCAGATGTTCCCCAATATTTATCAAGCAGGCCATTACTTTCAAGATCATAATCGGATGGCACATCTGGTAGAACTGCATCCCCGTGAAGAAATTGTACTGCCTGTCTCATGCTTGGCCTTACTTCTGGTTTACAATGTGAGCAATGTAAGCCTAGCTTTAGAACAAGCTCCATTTCTTCACTGACAAAAGATCCTCCCAGCTTAGGATCGCTTGTTTCTAGAATCGCTCCCTTCTTCCAGCAGTCAAAAACCCAATCAACCAAAACAAGGTCTTCCTCAGCAAAATTGAGCAAGCGAAAAGGCTGTACTCCACAAGCCACCTCGAGTAAGAATATCCCAAAGGCAAACACATCCGTGGCAGGAGTTGGCTTGCCTGTTAAACTGATTTCAGGTGCAAGATACCCAACTGTTCCAACGATGTTGGTGCTTCGAGGATTACTACCATGATCATATAGTCTAGCTAGGCCAAAATCACCCAATTTGGCATTCATGTCAGCATCCAACAGAACATTACTGGCTTTCACATCACGATGAAGCACAACTTGTTCCCACTCTTCATGAAGGTATAGCAGGGCAGACGCCACCCCCTTGATAATATTCATTCTTTGAGGCCAAGAAAGGTCAGATTTGGATACATTTTTCTGAAACAGGATCTTGTCAAGGCTTCCATTTGGCATATAATCATAGACCAGAAGAAGCTCCCCTTTTCTTCGGCAGTAGCCTAAAAGCTGGATCAAGTTTCGATGTCTAAGCCTTCTCATGCTAACAATTTCAGACACAAATTCCCTCATTCCTTGCCTTGAATCATGGGATACTCTCTTGATTGCAACTTGGGTTTCTGTTGAAGGCAGTACACCTTTATAAACCTTCCCAAAACCTCCAGAACCAAGAAGTTCAGAGTCTTTGAACCCTTTAGTTGCTACATAGAGATCTTTGAAAGAGAATCTATGGGAGGCATATTCCTGTTCCCATGGTTCCTTAACCTCTTCAAACATTTTCCTCCGTATAGCACATACAACTGCTAAAATAATGACCAACAATAACACAAACACAACGAGAAGTACTATAAAAACAGTTTCCAGCCTTCTCTTTTGAGTTCTGATCTTGGGAAGTGAAGGCAGCTCGGAGAAATTAAAACCTGGGGCTTGCCCGATTTCACTCCAACTCCAACCTAATAAGTAATGCTCATTTGCAGTAAGACCAGTAGCCGCAGAGAACCCAACATACATAGAATCAAGAAATACTGCAGAAAGATTCAGGTGAGTAGATAACAGAGGTCTGACTGGTTTTGGATGACGAAGTGGAGCCATTGTTACATTCATTAGCCTCTCACTTCCATCATAATCTATCCAAACTTGCATAGCTTCACGACTAGTAAGTTGAAGGCTCCTGTTCGTCCGCCCTTCTGCATCATAATATGCAGCTGAAGCAGAATCATTAGACATTAGTCCATTAATATCAATCCCAACATGGTTGCCATCAATATCCCCAAAAACAGCATTTTGAATAGTATCTAACTCTACAGCAAAGACATGATTAGAAGCAAGGCCATTGTTTGAAACATTGAAAAGTCCTAGAAACTCAGCTGGAACAGCGCGTGCAAAGTTCATGGATGAGGAGATGACAAAAGCAAGTCCATGACCACCATGAGCTTCCACATCAGGATACATGGAAAACACAAAACTCGTGGAGAAGGATCGAGTTGCATTGAGTTTGAAAGGCTTTGGGTAGAAAACATGACCACTAAGCTGCTTTGAAGTGTTGGTAAGGACAAGAAGACCATTTGGTTGGATGTTTGCAAGCCCATCAAGAAGGAGGTTGGCTCCTCGGAACCCATTGTAGATAAACTGGGTTTCATCTTGAGCTACGACCACCACAGAAAGAAAGAAAATCAGGACTGACTGCAGTAAATGAGCTTCTGCCATGAAACACAGAAGCATAGTAAAGAGTTTCAGGGATTCTTTGGTCAGACTCAGAAAGTCAGAACTAAATAAAAGAGAATCAAGAAATATTTTTATCCTATAAGAAAATCACTAACATCTTTTTTAACAACTTTAAGGCTCATAGGATACCTTTTATATTCATCCCTTATTTTTTTAAGGCCATCCCCATCAATTTCAGTGTGAAACCCTGTTACAAAAGCTTGAAAAAGTCCAGATGGCAGATTGGGATGGAATGACATATAAAAAAAAAATGTCAAAAGTAAAACAATTTAGACATACAAAGGTCTAGCCGCCACCATAATTAAACTAATCTATCAACAAATAAGATAGCAAATCACAAACTTTTGTGCATTATTGCTATCCAGTTGAATTAATTGCTTTTTTTTTTCCTTTTCTTTTTCTTACTTTTACCATATTTTAAATGTATGGACTATGGAGGACCCTAACTTAACGTCTGCGTACCATCACAGTTTCTTTATTCAGCCTTTGTGAACATAACTACAAGTGGGAAGAGTAAGAGAAATTCATCCTTATACGCAGCTACAATTAGGGGGATTTGACCTTATAACCTTAAGATTATAAAGTAAATTTTCAAAACACCAAACTTTGTTTAGTTTTTTGACCAATAAATAGACCCTACCAAGTTAATTTACAGAAACCTTGGAGTACCAATCATACATAACTGCTCCATTAAATGAAAAGTCCAAAATTGGGTATAAAATGTCAAAATAAGACAAGGGAACATATATCCATATATGACATATATATACGTAGTTTCCAAATTTTTTTCAATATGTCGGGTAAAATTTAAACAAATGGTACTACTAGTTTATCATAAGCTGGTTTGAACATTAGTAGACTTTTTGGAGTAAGATGTTCTTTCAGCTAACATCGCTTTATATATAACTAAAATTGTTTGCCAAAATAATTTTTTAAAAATTCAGAAAATTGCAACCATTATTCAAGAAAGTTAACTAACAACTTTATGCAATATTAATTTCCCATAAATTTGAATTCTCAACAGTCAACATAAACCTCCTTTGAAACATGTAAAGTGTAAACATAACATGGCAGAAAGCAGCACTTTTCAGAGAATAGGGATATGAAAAAGAATGGATGAAACATTGGCTTGACCTATATATAAATATGTAAGGTTATGTGGATAAAAGTATAAAACTTAAGGCGATGCAGCTGATGCTTCAGTAGTATATATGGGAAATGGCATGCTATGGTCGATCATTCTCTATTCTAATTTGGTATCATTGTTACAGAAATCAGTAATTTTGTATCCATGGTCAAGACATGAGTCATAGATCATCACACCTGAACTGCTATGCTGCAAAGCTAGCGATATTGCTCTTCTTTAGATTTCTACCACGCCTTACTAAATTTCAATGTATCATTGTAAATTAATGTTGGAATGTTTAGCTGCAGTCATGCAGATTTGAAGTCTCCAACATTATTGTTCATTGGCACCACGAACATTGAAATGAGCTGTGCCTTACTATTAAGGGTCGAATAAAAGAGGAAGTTAGTTCTAGGTGAGATCATCTTACATTAATTTATAGTGATACATTACCTGGATGAAAACAGCCTATCTGATACTGCAGGGTTACAGGTGATACATATCCGACTCCCCTACCCTGCCCTAAGTGGAGACTCGTTCTAAGCACCAATGTAATACAATGGTAAATGTGTGACTACAAGGTTTTTTTTTTCCTGCATTATATGTATCATGATAAACTTGAAATGTAAAGATAAGATCTAATATGTAGCGAGCCACAAAAAGCATATCTCTATTTAGTATGTTGGTTGCAGATTCAAATCACAAAAGACAGGGTTTGACACGTTGACATAACCAGGAGAACCACTTGAAAATACTTAAAATTATGTGAGATTCATACCTGAATACTAGAGTGTTCAGACATGTTTGCATCTTAATGTTTTACCTAACTATCACAGCACCTGATCATTATTATTCTTAAATTTTCTTCAGAGTCCTTCATATCGTTATTATCATCTAAATCATTCAAATGTAACGATCCAGTCAAACAAAAGAAGAATACTTACTGAATTTTAAGAACAAAGCTCCACTTAACTCACAGCACTTGTCATACAAAACTACCTGAAAGGCAGGGAATCAGAAAAACCAAGCAAAATATAGTCATTATTACCTTCTTAAGACAGCAGAAAGCCAACCATGTAAGTAAATGTCAGCAATAATACAGATTATAACCCATGAATTCTAGTAATAGCTCGATACATATAACATAACCTACTCATTGAAAGAAAATGTTCTCCATAGGAACTCTTTCCATGTACTCTGTTTTAAGGTAACTGAATAACTGGAGTTTCTTTTTGTATGATAACTTTCTCAAAAGTTAATGGAGTTAGCTTCGATATATTTGAGAATTCTGATTAGAGAGATGTGAGAATTTTCCAACTCATATTCATCACGACTGTCCAATTCCTTAGTTTGCTAGAGCTAACAACAAAATATGTCCCTCAGATAACCAAGAATTATCAACTTTTCAGAGCATTAAAGTGGGCAGATGATGAAATAAACTGCATGGCTCATGAAAATGACAAAACTTTAGGAATGATCACGGTGATTTTAAAACCATCAGAGAGCACAATTTATTTCAGCATTGAAGAAAAGACAACTGGTATAATAGTAATTGGAACAGTCAGACTAATTCATGGTATGAGCCAGAAAACCTCAAAAGCAGTCTAGCACATAAATTAATGTATGCAAATAACAGTAACCAGAATTCTTTAGTATATATATGTTCATAACAAATAAAAGCAAGTTAGCAATGAAAAACAAAACAGAAAACTCTTACTTCAGATCCAAATTCTTACATTTTATAGGCCAAAGACATTTTACTGTGTCTATGTGGATTTCTGCAAGACACAAAATGCAAAACCTCTTTCAATAAGATTGTAAAATAGTAAATACAAAAACTCATCGACCATTATGTACGGCTGAATTATCGCTTGATACTGTGGCCTGAGATACACCGAATGACATGGATGATGGAACTGACATAGATATACTCCAACTTCCACCAAAGAAACTGTTGCTTTCATGGTCATAATCAGAAGGAATATCCGGCAGGTTTGCATCTCCGTTAAGGAATTGAACCGCTTGTCTCATGCTAGGCCTTCCTTCTGGCTTAGGATGAGAACACAGCAGGCCTAATTTCAAAACAAGTTCCATTTCTTCAGCCTGGTAATTTCCTTCCAGCATGGGATCACTTGTCTCAAGAATTTCTCCCTTCTTCCAGCAGTCATATACCCAATCAACCAATACATAGTCCTCTGTAGAAAACTCCTGCAGGCTGCTTGGCCGCCTTCCACAGGCCACCTCAAGTAAGAATATTCCATAAGCAAATACATCAGTGGCAGTAGTAGGTTTGCCTGTTATACTCAGCTCAGGAGCAAGATATCCTATTGTTCCAACTACACGAGTACTCCGAGTAGCGCTTTCATGGTCATATAACCTGGCTAACCCAAAATCACCAAGCCGCGCATTCATATCAGCATCCAACAGAACATTACTTGCCTTCACATCACGATGAAGAACGACTTGTTCCCACTCCTCATGAAGATATAGAAGGGCAGATGCCACCCCCTTTGCAATGTTGAATCTCTGAGACCAAGAAAGATCAGAGTTCTTATTCTTGAAGAGAAACTTGTCAAGGCTTCCATTCGGCATGTAATCATACATCAGAAGGAGCTCTCCTTTTCTACGGCAATAACCTAGGAGCTGAACCAAGTTTCGATGTCTTAGCCTTCTCATGGTTACAATTTCGGCTACAAATTCTCTCATACCCTGCCTAGAATCATGCGAAATTTTTTTCACTGCAACTGGAGTGTGTTTAGATGGAATCACACCTTTATAAACTTTGCCAAAACCTCCAAAACCAAGAAGCTCAGAATCTTTGAAACCCTTAGTTGCTATATAGATATCTTTATAAGAGAATCTATGAGAAATATACTCCTGTTCCCATGGCTCCTTCAGCTCTTTAAACTTCTTCCTCCATACAGCAAGAGCAACTCCAGCAATCATTCCCAACAACAGTAATAAAACAACAATCAATACTATGAAAAGGAATTTTGGTTTATTTTTGTGGCTTCTAATATTGGGAAATGGAGGAAGCTTAAAAAGGTCAAGATCCTGGGCTTGACCAATCTGACTCCAGCTCCAACCTGATATGTAATGCTCAGTTCCAGTAAGACCGGTAGCTGATGAGAAACCGACATACATATAATCAAGAAGTACTGATGAAAGATTAACATGTGTAGACAAGAGATTTTTTTGGGGTTTTGGATGTTTAAGTGGAGCTAATGTCACATTCATAAGCATCTTCTCTCCATCATAATCAATCCAAATCTTCATAGGTGTTCCACGAAGGCTCACGTTCTTCATTTCTTCATCAGAATAGTACGCCGCTGAAGCAGAATCAATAGACTTTAGGCCATTAACATCAATGCCAACATGGTTGCCATCAATATCTTCAAACATGGGATTTTGAACAATGTCTAGTTCTACAGCAAATATATGATTAGAAATATTGCCATTATTAGAAGCATTGAAAAGCCCTATATATTCTTGAGGAATAGCATACTCAAAGTTGATTGATGAGGAGATAACAAAGGCAATTCCATGGCCACCATGACCAGGCACATCAACATCGATGGCAAATGCAAAAGTTGTGGAAAATGAACGATTTTTGTTGAACTTCAGGGGTTTTGGGTAGAAAACATGAGCACTACTCAGCAATGTAGTGTTGGTCATCTGTAGAAGACCATTAGGGTGGATGTTTGCTAGCCCATCAAGATGAAGTTTGGCTCCTCGGAAGCCATTGTACAAGAACTGTTTTTCATCTTGAGCAAAGATAAGTTGAACCAAAAAAATAATCCCTAATATTAAGTGAAGGTGTGAGCAAGTTTCAGCCATGAAACATAAGAGGGCAATGAGTTTCACGGGTCATCACATCAAAATTACAACGAAAATCTGATCTTATACTAAAGATCATACCACTCAATAGTCAATAGTGTAGATTAATTTGCACAATATGTGGAATAGTCAATAGTGTAGATTAATTTGCACAATATGTGGAATACACAGAGTTATACTGTCTCTTTCATTGACTCGGAGAAGACCTTGCCTAATCATTCTCTATGGGAAAAAAAAACATGATATGCAACTTGTACAGCGATAGTGAATGATTGTGATTGATACTCCATCCGTCCCATAATTAGATGTCTACTTCTCTTTATTATGTGAGTAATAAATGCTAGAAATAGACATATAATAAAGGGATGGAGAGACTACTATTGTTCTAAGATGTGCATTCATGAATTATGCGGAAATTTAGCATAACTTTGGTCGATAAAAAACAAACCACATTATTATCATACAGGTAAAATTGACATTTCAAACCAGTTCAATTGTCAAACTAGTTTCATTTTCTAGATATTTAAGATGTGCTCAAAATCATACTGTATGAATCAAACATAACACTTTCCACCTATACGACATCAATTTAATAAGCTTTTTCTACAACTATAAAATAAAGGAAATTATTATTAACTTTTTACAACATCAATTTAATAGGCTATGTATAACATTTTCCATTATTATTATACTAAAATAAAGAAAATGGTGCAATCACAATTAAATACCTGACTTTATAATGGTCAAAATTAAACGCTGCAACAAGTCTGAAATTTCCTCGGAGAAGAAAAAAAGGAGTGCTTCCAGAATTCATTTCCAGAAATATCTGAAATACACGAAACAAACAATCATACACCGTATTACAGTTTTTTCTTTTTTGTAATTCAAATAATTGTACAAGTAATTATGATTAGAAGAGCAATAATTTAACCGAGATACACGCGGGAATTAGTAAATTACTGATGAAGATGTATAAAATTGCACACAGATTAAGGTTTTGCGAGTTGATTGGTCTGACATTTCTTGATTTTTTTTTTTTTTTTTTTTTGGTGTTAATTAGGGGTTTGCTTGGCATTCAATCGGCTAAATTACGTGAAACAAATGCTTGTGTTGTTTCAAAAAAAAAAATGCTTATGTTGGGATAAATGATACTCGTGTTTTTTTTTTTTTTTTGGTAAACGATTCTGATCTTATAAAATGTCCAGGCATGAACCTCTCAACTTGTAATTTTGTGCACTTTTTTAGTTTGCTTGCATACCACCTTCTTGGCTTTCTTCCTCAACTACAGAACATAAGAGCAAATGGAGCATTTATGAGCCAAATATCACACGGTGGAAGTACGAGTATTAAAAATCAACAAGTTGCATGTATTAAAAATCAGCATTTATCAGCTGCATTGATTACTCTTGGGAAAAATAGCTCAACAAATCACTTGAAAATACTGTACGAGTACTTAAAACTATGTGAGATTAATACCTGAATACTAGAGTGTTCAAATGTTTGCATCTAACTGTCCTGATCATTATTCTTCTAAAATACAATTCAAATGTAACTATACAGTCAAAATTAAAGAAGAAAACTTACTGAATTTGAAAAACAAAGCTCCACTTAACTCACAGCACTTGTCGTTCAAGATTACCTGAAAGGCAGGGAATCAGTACAACCTAGCAAATTATAGTCAATATTACCTTCTTAAGAGGGCAATAAACCAAACATGCAAGCAAATGTCACCAATAATACAGATTATAACCCTTGTATTCTAGTAATAGGCCGATAGATAAAACATCACCTACTTATATTATAGAAAGAAAGCATTCTCCATCTGAACTCTTTTTATGTACTTGATTCAAGAAGTTAAATGAAATGTAGTCTCTGTTGTGTGATTGGTTTGTAACTGAAAAGATTGGAGTTTGTTTTTGTACGAGTTATCCTTGATATATTTGAGAATTCTGAGTAAAGAGATGTGAGAATTTTCCAGCTCATATACATCAAGACTGTCCAATTCCCAAGTTTGCTAAAGTTAAGAGCAGAATATGTCCCTCAGGTAACCAAGAAATAATCACAGTGATTTTAAAACCATCAGGAAGCTCAAATTTTTTCAGCATTGAAGAACAGACAACTGGTATAATAGTAACAGACTAACAGGAACAGTCAGATTTATTCATAGTATAAGCCAGAAAACCTCAAACGCAGTCTAGCACATAATTTTCTCTATGCAAATAACAGTAACCAGAATTCTTTTAGTAAATGTTCATAGCAAATAAAAGCAAGTTAGCAAACAAAAAGAAAACCAGAAAACTCTTTACTTCAGATCCAAATTCTTACATTATATATATAGGCCAAAGACATTTTACCGTATGATTATGTGGATTTTTCTGCAAGACACAAAATGCAAAACCTCTTTAAATATGATTGTAAAATAGTAACAAAAACTCATCGACCATAATGTACAGCTGAATTATCGCTTGATACTGTGGCCTGAGATACACCGAATGACATGGATGATGGAACTGACATAGATATACTCCAACTTCCACCAAAGAAACTGTTGCTTTCATGGTCATAATCAGAAGGAATATCCGGCAGGTTTGCATCTCCGTTAAGGAATTGAACCACTTGTCTCATGCTAGGCCTTCCTTCTGGCTTAGGATGAGAACACAGCAGGCCTAATTTCAAAACAAGTTCCATTTCTTCAGCCTGGTAATTTCCTTCCAGCATGGGATCACTTGTCTCAAGAATTTCTCCCTTCTTCCAGCAGTCATATACCCAATCAACCAATACATAGTCCTCTGTAGAAAACTCCTGCAGGCTGCTTGGCCGCCTTCCACAGGCCACCTCAAGTAAGAATATTCCATAAGCAAATACATCAGTGGCAGTAGTAGGTTTGCCTGTTATACTCAGCTCAGGAGCAAGATATCCTATTGTTCCAACTACACGAGTACTCCGAGGAGCGCTTTCATGGTCATATAACCTGGCTAACCCAAAATCACCAAGCCGCGCATTCATGTCAGCATCCAACAAAACATTACTTGCCTTCACATCACGATGAAGAACGACTTGTTCCCACTCCTCATGAAGATATAGAAGGGCAGATGCCACCCCCTTTGCAATGTTGAATCTCTGAGACCAAGAAAGATCAGAGTTCTTATTCTTGAAGAGAAACTTGTCAAGGCTTCCATTCGGCATGTAATCATACATCAGAAGGAGCTCTCCTTTTCTACGGCAATAACCTAGGAGCTGAACCAAGTTTCGATGTCTTAGCCTTCTCATGGTTACAATTTCGGCTACAAATTCTCTCATACCCTGCCTAGAATCATGCGAAATTTTTTTCACTGCAACTGGAGTGTGTTTAGATGGAATCACACCTTTATAAACTTTGCCAAAACCTCCAAAACCAAGAAGCTCAGAATCTTTGAAACCCTTAGTTGCTATATAGATATCTTTATAAGAGAATCTATGAGAAATATACTCCTGTTCCCATGGCTCCTTCAGCTCTTTAAACTTCTTCCTCCATACAGCAAGAGCAACTCCAGCAATCATTCCCAACAACAGTAATAAAACAACAATCAATACTATGAAAAGGAATTTTGGTTTATTTTTGTGGCTTCTAATATTGGGAAATGGAGGAAGCTTAAAAAGGTCAAGATCCTGGGCTTGACCAATCTGACTCCAGCTCCAACCTGATATGTAATGCTCAGTTCCAGTAAGACCGGTAGCTGATGAGAAACCGACATACATATAATCAAGAAGTACTGATGAAAGATTAACATGTGTAGACAAGAGATTTTTTTGGGGTTTTGGATGTTTAAGTGGAGCTAATGTCACATTCATAAGCATCTTCTCTCCATCATAATCAATCCAAATCTTCATAGGTGTTCCACCTGATAGCTCAAGGCTGATGTTTTTCTTATCTTCATCAGAATAGTACGCCACTGAAGCAGAACTAACAGACTTTAGGCCATTCACATCTATGCCAACATGGTTGCCATCAATATCTCCAAAAACAGCATTTTGAACCGTGTCTAATTCTACAGCAAATACATGATTAGACTTATTTCCATTATTGGAGGTGTTAAAAATACCTAGATACTCAGCAGGAACAGCATGCGTAAAGTTAATGGATGCAGAGATAACAAAGGCAATTCCATGGCCTCCATGACCAGGCACATCAGTATTGATGGCAAAAGTGAAAGTTGTAGAAAATGAACGGCTTTTGTTGAAATTCAAGGGCTGTGGGTAGAAAACATGACCACTACCCTGCAAAGAAGAGTTGGTCATCTGTAAAAGGCCATTAGGGTGGATTTTTGCTTGCCCATCAAGATGAAGGTTGGCTTCTTGGAAGCCATTGTACATGAATTGTTTTTCATCTTGTGCAAAGGCAAGTACTACAAAAAAGAGGAGCACCAGTTTATGGTGTAGATGTGAGCAAGTTTTAGCCATGAAACATCAGAACTTCAATGAAAATATTATCTTATACTTGTGTAAACTAAAGACCACTCAAAACTTAAAGGAGGAAATGGAATAGAACGTGTTATTTTCACTTTCAGAGATTTTTTGACTCATGAGAGACCTCTTGTATGTATCTAGAAGTCCTTGCATATTGCGTGCCTCCTCGGCTAAACTTGTATTGTTTGTATGCATTGCTGATTATTTAAGGTATGTTTAATGTAAAATCATCTACTAGTATGTGAAATGAAGAGCCTTGTTAATTGTTCTTTGGTCAATTTGTCAAATGTATGTGGTCTCCATTAGAGAATGGGCGGCTGGAAAAAGAGTTCAAGGACAGTGACAACTACAATAATCCTTGTGCATTGCCTTCATGTCCTACATCAATTCCCACATGTGCGTGCAACATAAGTAGAAAAAGGTCATTGCCAAAATAAAGAAGGAATAGGTAATATGTGGTACAAGATTATTCAGTGGTCCCATATTACGATTATTACCCGTAATCTAATTATTGACAAGCATGATACTCAAATTAGTGGTAGGGTTGATATTTGAGGAATTTACGATATAATTTTCAGTTTTTAGAAGAAATCTATGTAAGCAATTAAGTAATTTTTTGAGCACAGGCAGTCTCAAACGAGACAATTTAATATTAGTCAGGACCATAAAAGATGTGATGACTCTACACTGTTGTGGCTTAAACTTGACTATATGGACTTGAGCTTTTTCCATGAATCCTTAGTTCAATTTGCACGAAAGACGGACTACAACGGCTTTGGTATACCATAATTCAAAGCTTAAGTTCAATCAATCATTAGAAACAACCTCTGTATTATCTAAGGGGTTAGCACGTAAACTTGACATTTCAACCCCGTTCATATTAATACCCTACATAACTTAGCTTATAGTATTAGGGTACATAAGAATGATTAATTCCATGTGAAATCAACAAATGATTTTCCACCTACATAACTTATATTACGGCATCAATTTAATAATTCCACTTATTTGTCTTTTTGTATGTAACATAAAGAATTTTCCACAACCATAAACGCACCAAACACAATTAGCAAATTTTATACTCAAAACAAAAGAATTTCATTGGAGAAGACAAAGGAGTACTATTGCAATTTCCTCACCTTAAATCAAACTCTGCCACTCAACTGAGATTTCATTGGAGAAGAAAAAGTACCGCTTCTAGAATCACTTTCCAGAAATTTCTGGGAAAACATAAAATCAAATTGTACTCTGCATTATTCAAAAATTACAAAAAAATATTATAAATGAAAAGAGCACAAAAATTACCATGGTTTTATGAAACGAAGAAATCTGCGAGAATCAGTAAAATACTGAAGGTGCATAAAATTATTGTGGCTAAATCAATGCTGCTAAAGTTGCACATTAACCTGTCTGAAAATTCTTGATTTTTTTGTTGTTAAATGGTACTTCATGGGCGGCTCAATTTAAGATGAAGTAAACAAAATGCTGGTTTTGGGGGTAATTTTTGTGCTACACAGCCTAGAGCATATAGTTGCCGCCTGCCACCCTTGCCACATGTCCCTAAATAAATTTGAGTATAATTTATGAGTAGTATTAAGTCCAATCCTTTCAACTAAAATATGAGATTTAATAGTCATTAAGACAAACAACGTAGATAAGATTTGATCCCAAATATTAAGTCGTATCTCAAATCTCAATACTTTAGCTAAGGAAGTTAGTTGATCATCCACATTTCTTCAAGATGGTTAGGTAGTTGGGCTCCCATCACATATAAAAAGCAAAGCATGCCAGATTAGCCTGAGGCCCTGAGCTCAACCGGCCTAGGAGTAAAATCTAGCAAGTGGGTCATGGTCCATGTATCCAAATATGAGTTCAATTCGTAGCCCAATCCAAAACTAAAGAGACCCAATCCTACCTGATTTGGCCTACTTTATACTCTATGAAACATATATGATTAGAGTTTCAGACATGTTTGCACCTCAATGTTTTACTTAACTGTCACAAACTCTGATCAATTTTTCTTCTAATTTTCTTTCAAGTTATCCAATAAAAATCGTTTGAATGTCAAAAACGCACGATTCAGTCAAAACAAAAGATGAAAACTTACTGTATCTAACGAACGAAGCTCCACTTTAATCGCAGCACGCACTTGTCGTATTAGATTACCTGAAAGACAGGGAATCAAGAAAATCAAGCAAAGTATAGTCAGAATTGCTTTGTTAAGGGCAGAGACATTCATGCAGGGAAATGTCAGCAATGATATAGGCTAAATTATAAACATTGAATTTTATCATACGTCAATACTCAAGTCTCAATTTTAAACATCGCCTTCATACTGATTGAAATCACTTGTCATTTGAACTCTTCATTAGACATCAAAGTTTCTAGAAGTTAAATCAGATAAGTTTCACTTAAGTTAATAGAGTTAGCATTGGTATACTACAGATTTGAATAATATGAGTACAGATATGTGAGCATCTCCAATTCCTTAATTTTAAAGAACCAGCAGCAGAATTTGTCTCACAGGAAACAAAAACTATCAATAATTCTGAATTCCAATCATTAAAGTGGTCAAAAAAATGATAATATTATCTATAAAGCACATAAAATTTACAAAACTCAAAGAATGATCACAAAGATCTCAAAAGCATCTAATATCTAGAGTTGTGTATGCAAATAACTATAAACATTTCACTCAATTTCAGAAGTACAATTTCATATCAAATAGAAGCAAACACCAAAGAGAACAGTAATACTATTTACTTCAGATTCAAAGTCTGAATACATCCTTCTGCATATCTATAAGGCTTTCTGCAAGACACAAAATGCAAACCCTACTATCAAGTATCAATAATTTAAAATACAGAGACTCATCGGCCAACATGCACAACAGAACTATCACTAGATACAGTGGCCTGAGATATACTAGATGATGAAGATGACAAAACGGACATAGATCTTCTCCAAGTACCACCAAAGAAATAATTGCTTTGATGGTCATAATCTGAAGGAATTTCAGGCAGAATTGAATCCCCATTAAGGAAGTGGACCGCTTGTCTCATGCTAGGCCTGCTTCCAGGCTTGGGATGGGAACACAGCAGGCCTAATTTCAAGACAAGCTCCATTTCTTCGCCTTGGTAATCTCCTTTCAAATTGGGATCACTTGTCTCAAGAATTGCTCCCTTCTTCCAGCAGTCGTATACCCAATCAACCAAAACAAATTCCTCAGTAGAAAACTCCTGCACGATGTTTGGCCGCCTTCCACAGGCTACTTCAAGTAAGAATATTCCAAAAGCAAACACATCAGTGGCAGTAGTGGATTTTCCTGTTATACTGAGCTCTGGTGCAATATATCCAAATGTTCCAACTACGCGAGTACTACGAGGATTGCTCTCATGATCATATAACCTAGCTAGCCCGAAATCACCAAGCCGTGCATTCATGTTAGCATCCAAAAGAACATTACTTGACTTCACATCACGATGAAGAACGACTTGTTCCCACTCCTCGTGAAGATATAGAAGGGCAGTTGCCACCCCCTTTACAATGTTGAATCTCCAAGACCAAGAAAGGTTGGAGCTCTTACTCTTGAAGAGAAATTTGTCAAGGCTTCCGTTGGGCATGTATTCATACACCAGAAAAAGCTCTCCATTTCTTCGGCAATAACCTAGGAGCTGGACCAAGTTTCGATGTCTTAGACGTCTCATGGTTACAATTTCTGATACAAATTCTCTCATACCCTGCCTTGAATCATGTGAAACCTTTTTCACTGCAATTTGGGTGTGGGTAGATGGAATCACACCTTTATAAACTTTTCCAAAACCTCCAGAACCAATAAGCTCAGAGTCTCTGAAACCCTTAGTAGCTGCATATAGATCTTTGAATGAAAATCTATGAGAAGTACATTCCTGTTCCCATGGTTCCTTCAGCTCTTCATACTTCTTCCTCCATACTGCAAGAGCAACTCCAGCAATTAACCCCAACAACAGTAATAAAACAACAATCATTACTATTACAAGGAATTTTGGCTTGTTTCTGTGGCTTCTAATTTTGGGAAATGGAGGAAGCTTGAGAAAGTCAAGATCCTGGGCTTGACCAATTTGACTCCAACTCAACCTGATATGTAATGCTCAGTTCCAGTAAGACCGGTAGCTGAGGAGAAACCAACATACATAGAATCAAGGAGTACTGAAGAAAGATTAACATGGGTAGATAAGAGATTTTTTTTGGGTTTTGGATGTTTAAGTGGAGCTAACGTCACATTCAGAAGCATCTTCTCTCCATCATAATCTATCCAAATCTTCATAGGTGTTCCACGAAGGCTCACGCTCTTCAATTCTTCATCAGAATAGTACGCCGCTGAAGCAGAATCAATAGACTTTAGGCCATTAACATCAATGCCAACATGGTTGCCATCGATATCTTCAAACATGGGATTTTGAACAATGTCTAGTTCTACAGCAAATATATGATTAGAAATATTGTCATTATTAGAAGCATTGAAAAGCCCTATATATTCTTGAGGAATAGCATACTCAAAGTTCATGGATGAGGAGATAACAAAGGCAAGTCCATGGCCACCATGACCAGGCAGATCAGCATCGATGGCAAATGCAAAAGTTGTGGAAAATGAACGACTTTTGTTGAACTTGAAGGGTTTTGGATAGAAAACATGAGCACTACTCTGCTTTGTAGTGTTGGTCATCTGTAGAAGACCATTAAGGTGGATGTTTGCTAGCCCATCAAGATGAAGTTTGGCTCCTCGGAAGCCATTGTACATGAACTGTTTTTCATCTTGAGCAGAGGTAAGTCGAACAAAAAAATTAAGTACTAATATTAGGTGAAGGTGTGAGCAAGTTTCAGCCATGAAACATAAGAGGGCAATGAGTTTCATTGGTCATCACATCAAAAGTACAAAGAAAATTTGATTTTATAGTCAAGTAAACTCATGATCAGACCACCCAACTGTGTAGATCAGACTTCCCAATTTGATATTATACTCGAGTATCTAATACTTCGAATTTACTTGCATTGTTTTTAGGTGAAAAAAATAAGATAAAACATTTACAAAGCTATGCAACTTCTAATTTCTACAATAGGTATATATGGACCATAATCACGTATGTGAAATGAAGAGCTCGTTCTTAATTTTGTCAAAAGCATGTGGCCTCGTTAGTGAACGGATGACTAAATAAATAAATAAATAAACATTACTCCCTCCATGTTTC